GGGGGAGTGGCTGACACAGCGGGGGGATGGCACGCCGCGCTTCCGCTGCAGGCGAGCGTCGCAGACCACCGTATTAGGGTGACGGAGGGTTCTGGAGCTGGATGAGGGACCTCTACGCGTCGGGGCAAGAGGACCACAGGCTGACAAGGGAGGGAGAGACAAGCAGGAAAATTGGTGTCCCGGGGTGGAAATCTCCCCAGTCTGCCGACCCCACTCCGGACCCCGAGGAGGTGGTGGGATCAGCCGGGGCACCGTGTTGGGTGGGAGTCGGAGGGCCGCAGACCCCAGGCTCGAGCAGGGTGGAGCTGCTGTGCCACGGAAGCGCCCCCCAAATCAGCCCTTCTAACCGCACCCAGGGTGTTCCTTTCGGCCCCCGCCGCAACCGAGTTTGGGGAGCCTGTCCGGACTCTGCGGTCTCCCCCACCTTGGCTGGCCCAACCCTGCAGCTGGTCGCCCCCTCCCCGTCACCTTAGCGACAGCAGGATGGGGGCGCGACCTACGAGGAAGGGCTTAGGGGAGGGGGCGCCACTAGTCTCCACCTGCGACGGGGAACTGAATTTTAGTTTCACACGTTGTCGTGGCAACGCGGGAGGGGGTGACGAGTGGGCGGGGAGGGGAGCGCTGCGAGTGAACCAACTCAGGCGCCGCCCGCGTGGCGTGCCAGCCTTAGCCCGGCGCTGCCTCGGAAGTGCCCAACGCGCGGGGGCCTCACTCCCAAGGCCCAGGAAGGTGCAGCCCCTGAGTGGATGAATTGCCCTACTAACTGTAGGGTCTAGTCCTGCCTTCCACTGCACTCTCCCACCTACCTTGACTTATACCCCACCCCCTAAGGGCCCCAGAGAGCCACTCATCGCTGGCGGCACACACTGGACAGCTTTTGCGGAGCAGTCTGGCCGGGAACTCTGCCAGTGGCAGAAAGCATCCCCTCAGCCCCAGCCTCCCCAACTCTCTCCATGAGCAGCCCTGGATCGCCCACAAAACTGGTTATTCCTGAGCATCCCAGGAATAACCTTGGACTGCCCTGGTCCTATACACCATACACCTCACCATATCCCACCCCCTGACCACCTTGGTTCACCTAACACATGCCCTCACCCCCACACAGAACAGTGATTTGATTAGACTTCCCCCAAAAAAAACCAGCCTGCACTCCACGGATCCACCACCTTCCAAAAGTGTTTCGTGACCCCATAAGAGGGCCTTCTGACCAATCCAAACCCCACGGGACTGTCCCCCATGGACCACCCAGCTGACTCCCACATCACTACCTTTGAGGAACAATCTCTCCCTTCACAAGAACCGCTTACCCGGCAGAGCTGAGTCTCCAGCGCTCCCGTGCCTCTGTTCCCTGCTGCCCTCCAGCCTGGGTGGACCCCAGAGTGCTGGAGGAAGTGAAGCCCCAGCAGGCCCTGACCTCCAAGCCCCTCCCAAGGTCTGATTGAGCGGGGCAACTTAGGGTACCCTAGGGGCTAGGGCAGGATGTCAGAGGGGCAGGAGCAGGAAAGAGTCCCTCTTATCTTCAGGAAGCACCTGGGGAAGCTCAGGGCTGGGTTTCCTGTGTCCCAGCCCAGAGAGGAAACTCTGCTTCCTGGCCTGGGAGTCTCCGCCATCTTCCTCTCTTTGCCTCTTTCCTTTTCGCCTTGACCCAGGCCTCCTTTCCGGCTAAACCCAATCCCTCCCATCAAAACCTCCACCCACCTTTATTTCCAGCCTCCCTTTTCCCTAAACTAGCTGCCTGCTGGTGGGAAATGATGGCCAGAATCCACCAGGGATGAGGCTGAAATGGAGGAATCCCATGCCCTCAATCAGGCCCCAGGCCAGCTTTGGACACTCAGTAAACCTTGTCTTGACCTGAATGGGCCCAGATCCCTGGGTGTTGCCTCTTCGGGGCTAGCTGTCCACAACTGGACCTCATGGAAGGAAGCCTTTGAGCCTCCTCTGACACCTCCCTTGCTGGGTGAATCTAACTATCCGTGTAGGCCTATGGCCTTTGTTGCCAAGCTTTTGGGGAGAGAGTCTCACATTTTGCTAACCAGCTACCTGCAGACGGACAGTCTCTTGAGCAGCCGTGGCTACCTTCCCTCAGGTCCACCAGACCCCATCTCCCAGGCAAGGTGACACTTTGTCGCCATGGTCGACCTTCAAATACTGGCCGGTGCCTTTTGCTTACTTCTTCCTTTCCCGGGGCCAAAATTCTAGAAAGATCTTATTTTGACCATCCACACTTCTTCCCCACCTCCTAGTGCACTTTCAGCTACACAGCTTCAGGAGATTTGGGGGTGGAGGAAGATTTGTGACTAGTGCATCCAGAATAGTGTATGGCACGTGGATTGGCAGCAAATGTGTAACTATAGTCCTCAGCCTGCTGCTGTGCGGCTCCAAGTGTCCATTGCTTAAGCATTCACTGGAGACATCCAAACCTCCAGTGACGGTCTCCATGCTCTTGACCCTTCCACATCCTAAGCGTCCTCTGGCCTGTGATTCGTACTCCCAGCCCACCTTCTGGCCCTCTGGTTGACCTCGCTTGGCCTATAGGCTCCTCTGTATGCTAGACGGCTTGCCTCACTTCCACCTGGGGAGGTATCCCTCCCTTCCATCCATCACTCCTGCACACTTCTCGCTCTTGTCACTCGGCTCATCCTGGCCTGTCCCCGACGTTACTAAGTATGTCGACCTCTTGCTGAAAGTCTGACAGGCATTCTTCTGTCCAGACTAACCTGTCTCCTCCTGAAGCTCTTCCTTTGATTTCCATCCTGTCAGGAGGTTCTGTACTCATCTAGAGAAGCGTCTCCTAGACGCCTTCCTCTCCCAGCCTGCATCCCTCCCTTTGAGGACCCACCTCACCCCATGTTTCTTCACTAAATACTCTGTTCTGCCCTAATCTGGTTTCTCTTTTGTCAAGCTGCCATTGTCGAAATTTCAACACACTGTAATTCCTTTATGTGTTGCTTAGCATCTCTTTCCCTGGCAGGAGGTGGGCTCCCTGTGGAGAGAGGTCTTAGCCTCTCTGGTTTTGCTGTGACCAAGCCCTGGTACACTGTGTAACTCAGTTTATTTGCTATGTAAGTAAGTCAGAGATTAAACTGTCATCTACAAGATTACACCCAACTTCAGCTCAGGCCTCCTTGCTGTGGAGCAGCTGAAACCGGGAGTGCTACATGGAGTGCAAAGCTGTCAGGACCCAGTGTGCGTGTGTGTGTGTGTGTGTGTGTGTGTGTGTGTGTGTGTGTGTGTGTGTGTGTGGTTTTTATTGCTCCTGGTTATATAATATCTAAAGGTATATTCATATGCTATCTCATCTAGCGTCTAATTTTTCTTTTTCCAGGAATAAGAATCTCTTTAGATTCAGCTTTGGTTTTTGCTTTGTGTTGTTTAGGATAGAGTCTGGCGATGTATCCCAGGCTGCCTCAAACTTCCATCGGCGCATCAGCCTCCAAGTTTTTTGGGTTTGCTCATCTCTTTTCCTTCAGTTTACACTATCGTATTTCTCTCTATATTTCTTTTCGTTCTTGCTAAATTCACTGAACTGGATATTTTTCCAATCATTTTCAGTGTTCTCCTTTTCTCTAAGTCCTTCACAAGCATTCAGCACTGTTAATCTCCAATTATCATTTGAGTTAGAGTGTTGATATGTAATGACTTTATTTCCTTTAGTTCTGATTTTCTCATGTCACATATTTTGGCTCAGGTATTACAGGAATGTGCTTATTTATGTTTTCAAATGTTAACTATATGTTTGTGGACTAACTCTTTATTAGTGATCTCTCCCTGCATTGTGGTCGGAAAAGATGGTCCGGACAATACTGATGTTTGTGCAGTTTGTGAAGATTTTCCTCGGCTCCTGAAGCTGAAGGAAGAAAAAAGTTCTAGGCCAAATTGGACCACGGAATGAGATCACATCTCAAAAACTGAAGCAAGCCCGGCATGGTGGTGCACAGGTGGTTCTCTGAGTTCAAAACCAGCCTGATCTACTGAGCGAGTTCCAGGACAGCCAAGGCTATGCAGACTGACCCTGTCTCAGAGTGGGTGGAAGGCAGGGAGGCTAGAGGGATGGCTGAGCAGTGGAGAGCCCTTACAACCCTCGGAGAGGACCCGTTCAGTTCCCAACACCAACCTGATGGCTCACAGTGATCTGTAACTCCGGTTCCAGCGGTTCGGATGCCCTCTTCTGGCCTCCGTAAGCACTGCATGTGTTCAGTGCACATACCTGAAGTGCCTGCAGAACATTCCTACACATGAGATTGTTTAAAATCCTTTTTAAAGGTTTAATACCTGTGATGTATGTTTAATACATGTAATATACCTTTATGAGTACTAAAAACAAAAACAAAATAAAGCCAGTCTACCCATTTGCATCTGTATATTTATTGGGATTAATGATCAACTTAACTAATTTCTATCATCCATTTTG